GACGCAGTGTTCCTTTGCCCTTCTGCACTTTCCAGTAGCCTACCCAAAGACGTAAAAAATCCTTCGATGTTGGGCAACCAAATACGTGCACCCTGCATAATGCTTTTCAAACGTGTGTGGTTCACCTAATCATCTGTCTTTATTTCCGCCATATTGGAAGTGTTAGTTCCCGGGGCCTCTTCTTTTATGTGACTTCCGGTCATTTCTATTTCCGCTTCCTCATCTTTTAGTTTTATTGGAACATCTTTTAGTTACGTAATGTCACGCACGTATGAGCTTCGTTTAACGGACGTCCGGTCATTTCTATTTCAGCTTCCTCATCTTTTAGTTTTATTGAACATCTTTTAGTTGTATACGGTCACGCTCGAATGATTCGGAAAAGCGATTTATGCTAAACAACATCGATGCATAGCATTCGAACTTGATGAACCCGGTCGAAATTGATTTATGTTATTTTCCAATTTGTATTATTACGTATAACAATAATGAATTTAACAAAACACTGATGTATTCACGTTCGAAATTTTGTCCGCAAAAAAGCCCCATAATTAAACGGCTAGTGACACGAGGAAATTATACTGGAGAAGTATTTGATGCGGCGGCTTTTGAAAGAACCGATTGCTTGGTCAAATTTAATTGTCTGTGTCGAAACTGTCCGTCCGCGGAGAAAGGTCTCTCTTTCACTGATGGCTGAAAACGAGCGTTTTTTTTTTTTCAAGGTTGAAAGTGGTTGCTAAAAAATCGATAAAAATCTAACTCATCTGATATGCGGACCAGTATGCAAATGTCTGGTGAGCAGATTGACACAGGTCATTTGCATAATTTTGGTGCGTGACTCTAATCACTGAATAGCGTCGTGTTATTTCTTGTCTCGTTGACTCGCGGTCTTCCTTGTCCGCTTTGATCATTCACCGTTCTTTTTGTAGCTTCAATTACAATACGTTGTTTTGTCTCAGTCGGTGAGAAAAATGTCAAAGCTTGTTGTTCTCCAGAACTATTTTCTTTTGTGGATATATTTATTACATATCTGTTGCGACGTTGGCAGACACTTTGTCTCAGCCACAACAACGGACGGTTCACATGGCCTTGAGGAAGTTACTTTCCCCCCAGTTTTTGTTCCATCCAGCGATCCTACTGTTCCAGCTGGACATCTTCAAATGTTTGGCCTACAGCGACGGCCAAACGGACCCGTGATGGAGTACAACACAGTGCTAAAACCGCAACAGTTCTGGGAAACTCACGTTAGTCAAAACCGACCGCTCGTGTTCCGTCAGGCACTAGTTGATTCACCAGCGCTGAAGAAATGGACGGACGAATACTTGAAGGAAAAGTACGGCGATTTAGATGTACTAACTGAACTAAAAACTGAGAACAGAACACACGGAATGACTTCGCGTATGTTGTTGGGAGATTTTATTGACGTTTACGCGGATAAAAATCTTTATGTGGTCACAGTGTTACCAGATCCAATGAGGCAAGATCTACCGGTGGGTTAATGCTTTTTCCTTGCAAAATGTGTTTGTGTCTTGAAAAGTGTTAACGAATGAGCTCTCGTAGCCTGAAAAGCATGCGTTTGGGCGTGAGTTAGTTGAAAAAAACTCACAACAAATTCGCGCGGACGCGTGTAAGCAGGCCAGAGGTCGCTGTAAATATTATTTTTTTTGCTTTCGTTGGAAAGTTCAATAGAAGCCTGAAAAGCATGCGTTTGGGCGTGAGTTAGTTGAAAAAAACTCACAACAAATTCGCGCGGACGCGTGTAAGCAGGCCAGAGGTCGCTGTAAATATTATTTTTTTTGCTTTCGTTGGAAAGTTCAATAGAAACTGCATTATATATGTACGAATATAACGTAGATAGGATTATTATTTTATTTTTTATTAAAAAATGCTGACTACCATGAATAAGAAAGAAGGACAAAAAACAAAGCGGAAATTCAGTGGGAAAGTACGGCCAACTCGCCTGAGCGGTCTTGTCAAGGCAGTACGTTACACGGGATGATTTTTAGCGCAACACAGCGTGCAATTAACATAAATGAATTTCAACTTGACCTGAACTTCCGCACCATCTGTACCCAGAGTGCCAGAGTAAACCTTGGACAGGGTTGATTTGGAGGTGCCAGGGTACATTACATAACGGTATGCCTGCTTTTATAGGATACTGATCAGGCCCGAAATTGGCCTACTTGTAGCCGCACTCTCACCCCACAAAGGAAAAACGGCAACTAACCCTAACCTTCAAAAGATCAGTTTAAATACTAGTAAGAATTGAACGAGAGAGGGATTTTGAAAGGTCCGAATGAAATGATCAGACACCTAACCAATACGTGTCCTCTCAACCCGCTTTACTAAATAAAGACAACATAAACTCTTCGCTTTCATAATTTTGTTGATTTTGCCGCTGCAGAAATAAGCCTGACCCACTCAGAGTGACTTGGTACCTTCTGACAACACCAGGCTATGTGAAAGACAAAACTCTGAATTGATATGAAAACGTTGTAAATAATATTATTTGAACATTAGCCCCAGAAACTAAAGGTGATATTGGCCTGAGAGAAAAGCCGACATTTCATAGCACCACCACTGGACGGTTTCCCATTCTCTCGGGCTAATGAGATATTTACATGACAGTTTTTTTCCACTGCACTCTACCTTTATTTCCATATTGTTGTTTCCGCTGTTCAAGAGTACGCTTAACTCAAGACCACTTTTGCTTGTCTAACGTATTCTGAAACGCGTATAACTCAAGCTAGTGAATCTTTAGTCAGTGATGTCTTCCACATGGAATATTCAGTGTTACCACATCACAAGGATCATTTAAAATCACAATGGAAAACTTTTACTTGCATTCTTACAAGTACTTCTTGAATGGAATGTTGCGTACTCTTGTGACACTAGAAAATCCTAAGATTCCTTTTGATACGAAATGGTTTAACTTAATGTTTGGCACATTATAGACTACATGTTTCCAAACAACCAGAGTCAAAAGTGACGCAAGATTTTTCAGCCAATGGTTTAGGGTCGTAAAACAAAGCAAAAGTATACGTGATCAGGAAGTAATTTTATACGTTCCACGCTCAATATAGGACCGTCCCAAAGGCCCTTTAATTGAAACAGCGCATGGAAAAACGTATCGTAGAGGAGTCAGGCATTCATTTAAACCAATCAGAGGCAAAAGTAAATACTGGTAGCCGGCCCAAAAAGCGCGGGAAACCGCCTGCGACGTGGTCACGATTGCTTTCGGGTGTTTCATTGTGATTGCTTTGTTAAATGCGGTAGTTGGGTGACCTAGTTTGTAACTTTGTTCTTTTTAGGTGCTTCCCTGCATCATGTGTGGCACTTTTAAAGACTTCTTACATGAGCTAAACTTCTGGATGAGCTCAGGAGGAACGCGTTCCGTTATTCATTTTGATGCAGACCATAATGTTCATTGTCTGATCGCGGGCCGGAAAGACTTTATGATGATTAATCAGGAGTTTTCTAAATATCTGAATGTCACGCAGGTAAGAGTTAGACCATGAATTAACAACTTTAATTGTGCATCGCTATTTTGACAAAAGTCTCAGCCCTGTTTTCTTAACCTATTAAATTGCTTTCTTCCAGTGCAGCTAATGAAGTGAAAGAAAGCAATTTAATTGGTTTAGCGAAGTGAACTGAACCTTACCGTTAGATCCGGTTTCCGGCTATGTTCAAGTTAAAAGCGGTGTACCAAAACTGAGGACATAATTGGTGGCTCCGACTGGGTAACTTCTTTTGCACTTTGAACAAAAAATCCCGATTTTTAAAAGAAAGTTAGATGTTATAGTGGTCTGTTGTTTAAGATTTTCAAGAACTATATTCTGTACAGTTTTACATTGCCCGGGTCTCTTATATTTTTAAAATTTTGATGAGTTTCAGCCTCGACGCTCTGATAAAAAATTGTACAAATTGCGGACTGCACTTTCAAACTTAGCGAAATAGTGCACATCTACACGAGCAACAAGCAACGTTTTCTTCTTATCTTTTCAGCCTCCACAGTTTGGTTCAGGTTTCTCTATCGCGAATCCAGATGCGATTGACTTAAATCTTTTTCCGGATATTTCAAAAGTGGAATGGACTTACAGCACTTTAGGTCCAGGTGACTGTATCTACATTCCCTCAGGTAAGTATGCATTATTTAGTCTCAACTGTGTTTTCCTTTCAGTTTCGTTATTAAACTGACACCAAAGTTTTTACCCTACTCTGTCCAGTCAGACTCAAAATTCTGACCAGAGTCCGGCTTCTTGCCGTATTATAAAAATGATGTACGATAGTCAGTGTTTAAAAACATAGCAATGCAATTTTGTCGGCAGCATTCTGTATACCAGAGGGCGCGCGAATTCGTCGAACAGAAGGATTTAACGCAATTGCCATTTTTCATATTAAGAAAATAAAGCCAATATACCTCATACGTTTCTAGGGCATATTTGCCATTTAGTAGGTGTTTTTTGTTGTTGTGAAAGCTGTTGTTGTTTAGGTATGTTGTTATGAAGGTATTAGTTAGTTTCTTTCCAGTAGTTTTTGATCGCTCCCCGCGTCCGCATGCGCAAGCACCAACAGTTCCCGATTTAATCAGGTCTCCTCGATTTTATTCTCTTTTGAGGAGCGTACCTTTCACAGCCAGTTTATAAAACCAAATGTTGTTGGAAGGTGATAACAAGACCACATCTTGTTGCTACAAGAAAATTTGTATGAATTTAACTCTCACTTTATAATGGTGGTACAGTAAACACTCGCTAATAAGAACCTCCTTTTTGAGAAAAAAGCAAAATAGGTTCTTTTATTTTGGGTTACTTATCGGCGATTTAGGCTAAGTAGGTTCTTAATTTGGTTCTTAATTTTTATGAAGGAGATAACAGATTGTCGATTACCTAGAAAAATAAATATGTTTTATTTATTCACAATTTTATTATTTTAACCCTAACGAGACTGATTACCACATTTATATACAGTTAACTACAATATGTTCTTGTTATACTTAAAGCAATTCAAAGTTACACTCCTTGGTTAAATTATTTTTGTTTTTTATCAAAATGACCCACATATAAGAACCTGCTTGATCTTGCTGGGCTAAACAGATTCTTGTATTTTTGGGTACAAAGTGTGGCAGGTTTCGGCCAGGAGGTTCTAAATCCACAGGTTCTAATTAGCAGGTGTTAACTGTACCACGCAAGGAAGGAGTTTCTTTCCCGTGTTAAGTTATTACAGGTGTGTAATTTGAAATTTCTGCCATTTTACTGTCAGGCTATATACACCAAGTGCGCTCATATAAAGGCAACCGAACTATTTCCGCTACAATGCTCTTTACGGCTTCGATAGACAACAGTTTCGATAACAGCAGCTGCGAGAATGAGACCTACGAGTACCGTCCTCTCAGCGAAGCTAACGTGCATTGGACATACAAGAAAGGAGACAAGACTATTGATATGGGCTATCAAAATGTTGAGACGTTCAGGCAGAGTATACTGGCCTCGTTTGAAGTGAGTAGCCATCATACAGAGCAGTTAGGGACGGACCATTAGAAGACTTATGGGGGGAGGGGGCGGGCGAAGTACAAAAAAAATATTCGCGCAAGGGAAAATTAAGTGAAAAAAAAATTCTTGCTTGCCGGTTAATCCCAAAAAAATATTCATGCTATGGCCTAGAAAAAATTCAAACAAGGAATTTGATAACGAAAAAAGATTCCTGCGCCTCGAAAATTCCCCTCCGGCTACAAGTACCGTAGATCCTCTATTAAGCCCCCTCTCTAAAAAGCCCCCTTTTTTTAGGGGAAGAAAGTTAATAAGCCCCCTTCTCTTTTAAGCCCCCCCCTCCCCTCCTCTCCTCCCCCTTGTTGCTATTCACCTTATTTACTATCTGACATAATTAGAAAATGCTGACATTCTGAAACACACCTGACTAAGTCCTACCAAATAAATGGTCGACCTTCTACAGATTTGGTTTTGATCCCCGGCCGTATGACCTCCAACCGTTGTACTTGAGCTTCTCTGCCACTTTGCATTCTAGTTTTTTTTTATGGAGAACTGACACCATGATCTTTGCTAAGTTAACTTAGCCCTCCCCCGTCTCTATTAAGCTCCCCCTTCAAATGTGTTTGAAATAAATAGCCCCGGGGGGGCTTAACAGAGGATTTACGGTAGCTTTAATTTCCACAGAATGAAAAGTTCCTGACTGAGGAGCGATTTAAAGAAATCATAGAGGACATGTTTGAAATGGACGAACACGATTTACAAGCGATACAAAGAGACACGAATAAAATCTACCGTAAGCTCCTGGACCCAAGTGGCAAAGGCTACGTTACTCGGGAAGAAATCAAAGCTCTTTCGCAGGACGCTTTGAAGGAGATAGCTCGGCGTACGGAACCCCCTCACGGTCCTGTCGCCGGAGCTCCTGACGACAGAGGTGGTGCGTACAAGGCCAGTTTGGAGAAAGATGCTGACCAATATGAGCAAGAAATTGAGGTTGAAGGAAGGGACGAATTATAGAGAATAGTATCTTAAAATGTAAAAATAATTGCAATAGCATAAAAAGCAACCAAGACACCTTAGACCTAGGCCAAACGTCGAACTTTTCATGAGACGAACCAATCTTACTGACGTGAGTTAAGTTCATGAAAATTTTTGATGTCTGGCTCAGTTAAGGTCATCTTGATGAGTTTGGATCGTCCAACACGTTATATTCGTCTGTTTCAGACGGATAGAACGTCTAAAGATCGTCTCCGCACAAACGTCAATCTTCACATCAGTGTCACATGCGATGAACTAAACTAACAAATTAAAAATTTGTATGATCATGTATATTTAACTTCTTTCTGGAGAAAATTTGTTACTGAACCAACTGAACGGATGCTGGCCGGCTAAAATTGCTTTGTCGGTCAGATTAAGTTGATTGGTTCGACGCGTCCTAGGTTCGACGTCTGACCCAACAGACGATCTTAACTTAATTTAGGTCGACCAAAATTAGAGTTGGTTCGTCTCATGAAAAGTTCGACGTTTCGCCTAGGCCTTACTTAACGTCGATGCTAGTCTTAGCATAGGCAAATAACACACGCGTGCAGGGCGATGTTACTATGTAACGTCAAGAGCCGTATTATGGCTCTTGGTAACGTTTCGTGCCAAAAACCTCCTCTTAGGATGGAATTTTCGTGGATTTCCGTATTGCCAAAGTCTCTCTTTCAAAGCGACGGTAAGTGCGAGGCCATTGATATTAGCCTGTGTACAGACGCCCCCTCCCCTCCCAACCTGCCTCCTTCCGATCAAAAAACCCCCCTTTGGGAGAGAATTTTCGGAGGTTTCCGTTTTGCCAAATCCCCCTTTTCAAAAGAGCGGTAAGGGGGGGGCCATTGAAATAGACCGGTGTACAGACCCCCCCCCCCCCCCCAAAAAAAAAAAAAAAAAAACGGGGACTCCCATTTTTTCTGGGGGGGGGGGGGGGGGGGGGGCGTCTGTACGCAGGCTAATTGATATGATTCTCATGCAAATAACACTTTTTTGCACTTAACCTCGTTTTGGAGGCGAGAGTTTATGGAACTCGAAAATGGCGGTCTATTTTCGTGAATTTTGATCCCTTATTAATGTGCCACGAGAAAAGAAACCCAGCCTGCGAACGCAGACGTATTTCGGGTCGTCGCTTTTCTCTACCCGAAAAGTTACTTTCCGGGTGAAGAGAAGCGACGCGTTCGCAGGCTAAAAGAAACCACTGCGAAAAGTAACTGTTTTCATTTAATGCTGTTTTAAAGAGTATGGTTTTTAAGTTGTAAAATGTTAAATCTGGTTTCGATATCACCTTTATGAAAAAGGAAACTGAAAGTTTTTTCTGCCAAAGAAAACACAATTATATCATTGAAACCGGGGACTTGTTCCCAATATTTAATAATTCGCGAAAATTTGTTCATACTTAACGCAAAAAAGGATCAGTAATCCACGAAATTAAACTCCCGCAAAAATTTAACGCCACACGGTATTTTGTATTTAAAATAATTACATGAAATTGAAATAATAAAAATATAAAGAGTAAAATATTTATAACAGTCAATAAAATAATCAGTAAACTTAAATGTGGCCCCAAAGATGCGTTCTGTATTGAAAAGGGACCTTAAGATCCGATAACGGCAACGCTGATGAAAACGTCGGAGAAAAGTAGTATTGGCGTTTTTTCAAACTTTTTCTCAATTATTCCAAGTCACCCAGTTACTTAATGTAGGCCGGCAAAATAGGTTGGAGCTGAAGAGAGGGGACCTCGTCATGACTGCGTCCGAGATAAAACAGAGTTGTTAAACCTTTTTCGCGTTGTCCATCCCGTTGTCGGGTAAACTTACAAGTTTCTGGATATTTTTGAAAACGAACATTTCTTCCGCATCTATACGTAGCGTATTCGAATCGTTTTCGCGGTTGGCCTGTCCCAGGCGTTTATATCGTGGGGACAACGCAAAGAGATGTGAGCAGAAAAAAACAACAACAACAACGAGGGGGTGGAGTAGGGGTGAGAGCGAGGGAACGCCCGGAAATACTATAGCGACCCTTACGGAGCATGCGTCATGCTAGAATTAGTTCGCAAATGATGACGCATGACATCATCGTATTCAAAAACCTCCGTTTTCATCCGTTCACAAGTAAACGAGAAGCCGGCGTTATAAAAAATCCCCACTCTGGAGAGCGTTTTTGAAAAAGATGCGTTTTCGGTGACCTTTTTTACCAAATACGTGTGGACGGTAGGCCAAACCGGAGAAAAAATCTCCGTTTTCAAACAAAAAATTAAACCGGATACGTGTGGACGAGGCCTTGAAATTTAGTCAATTCACGTCATATTCTAGCCTGGTCCCAGAGGTTTATCTTGAAATTTTCTTCCCGAAAGAGAGAGCGAGCCGCTGTCGCCGCTTCGCGTCTCGCTCACTCTTTCGCGAAGAAAAATTTCAAGAAAACCTCTGGGACCAGGGTAGGGTAGTCGTATTCGTTCAGGGACGGCAAAGTAACGCGCAAAGTTGTTGTTTTTCTTACTAGACATATTGACGTTCCCGTGGCCGTCGTAGTTTCGTGTGTTCGGAGAAGGAAAGAACAAGAAGTACGCGAGGCCCGTGACACATGGAAATTTTCGACACAGCAGTATCACCGTTCCACGACCTTTTATTTAAATAACAGTTTTCCCTGGGAGTTACAAGGAAAGTACAAGAATTAAATACAACTAGAATCCCATAAAACCATCTCCTGTAATTAGTATAGGTAATAGCATGATTTGTAGTGATATTTGGCATAAATGCCACGAGCCGTTAGGCGAGTGAAATTTGAGACAATTTCGAAATATCACGAGTGGTATTTCTGCCAAATATCACGTACAAATCATGCTATTATTTGTTTACACTACTACCCGCAAAAGGTTTGTAATTTTCACATGTAGGTACTTCAAATTAAGCTGAAATACCACTGCTCTAAGCCAATCAAATTGCAGAAATTTCTCATGTAGTAGTATAACTGACAAAACGAACTTTCAAATAGTCTTGTCCAAATACAGTGTATGACCATTTTCAACTGTCTGAATGCTAAATACTAGGTGCCTTACCCTGACAGACAGACAAAAGCGGCTGCAAGTAACTTCTGATAAAATACTACATTCACTTTGGAATTTGCCCCGTAGTAAATGCTTGTCGGTTTACGGTCATCTCGCCATCCATGAAATCGCCACCAATAAGTCGACTCGTCACCAACGAAAAACTCTGGAATAATTGACAGTTTAATACCTAGGATTACTTACCTAATATTTTTACTTGTTCGTCAAGCCTATTCGAATTCAAAGTCGACCCAGATACAAATCTGTCGATCCTAACTGACGATCCTTGCGTCGAAGGGCTTATGCTCTTGGTAATGCAAATACTAACAACACATGTAAGGGTTCGGTGAATGCAAACTTTAGCATTTGAGAGATTGAAAAACTGGCAGAAAAACTGGTCATTTCTTTGAAATATAAAAAGATAGTACCGGTTAATAAATTTCCGTTCATGAATCAAAGTTCAAAACAATGGTTGGTGGCGGTTTCGTTGGTGGCGAGGTAATCAGATAAATGCTTGTCAATGAAAGGAGGAAATTCATATTATATCAGGAGTCATTTAGGGCCTTGTTTGCGTGCAACCAATCGATAAATCAAACAACCCCGAATTAAAGGTAATCTAAATTATACAAACAGTTGATAGAGGGAGTAATTTTCTTTTACAGGTTACACTCTAACAGTCATTATTTACCTATAGCAGTTTCACGGTCGTTTCGCCCACGAGTCGTTTCGCTAACGTCCTGTTCGCAAACTTCTGAAGTCGATTCGCTCACGCGTTGAGTTCCCTAACTGCTTCCGCCTGATTAGGGGCTGAAAGAACCAGGTATATACATGCGTATCGCACTTTTTTGTATATCATGGCTGAGAGAACGAAGCATAAACATGCTCAGCGCTCATTTCGCTTCTGAGCGAAACGACATAAAACGGAAGCGAACGGGACGTTGGCGAAACGACCGGTCACCAATCCCATTTGGTCAAAAGGCGGACAGTGCTATCCATTGGATACCTAGACTACGAGTAGTCCCCATCGGGACACACGAGCGCGCGTGATTTCTCGCGTGCGGTGATTTTCATGAAGCTTCTTAAATGGAATGGTGTGAATTTCTGGTTTGTCCAGGTAATTGGCAATCACCTGTGCACTATGACCTTAGAATGGAACCTGTAAAAATATGATGAAAGGTGAACTTGAAAATTCCCTTTGAGAACTGATTGTATTCACTATTAAGCTGAAGGGTCTTCTTTCATGAGTGCTAAATCTGCTTCTAGCATTTCCTTGACCAGTTCCTGTGAATGGAATTGAGAGTAAAGATGATTACTCCTCAAGCTAAACATGACACAGGGTACCTAACAAGCCTTTCATTTCCAATTCTAAAAACTTAATCCTAATAAATGAAAAGACTGCGTAATTCCCACTTATGTCCAGGTTTGCACGCAGCTGCAGTTCGTGTGTTTGCGAAAAATCATGAAAATCGCAAGGTCAATGATTTTTTCGAAAGCCAGTTGCGAAAAATCGCAAATCAAACGATTTTTCGTGTTACTTGCGATTTTTTCGCACTTCTTCGTCAAGTTAATAATCACTTAAGTCGAAACCCAGTCGTGGATTTACAAAATTTGCGAAAATTGCGAAAAATCAGGAGTCTGATGATTTTTCCCCAGTTCTTTGTCAGCAAAATTTTGCAATTTCTCCAACTTTTCGTAAATTTTGCAAAAATCGCAAACATAGCAGATTTAGCTGGGGCACTCGAGTTTTACAATGTTAGCAAATTTTGGGAATTTGTCCAATTTTTCGCAAATTTTTCAGCTGCGTGCAGACTTGGACGTAGGCAATTCTGCAAAATATTCCAGCAAAAAAAACCACACATACCCATAGCGAACCATTTTTCCTGTATTTGCAATTTAATAAAAATTCATTTTTCCCCACGGCTTGCATGAATAGCATGGCTCACTGGCACACAGATTGTCCGTCCCCCTCATTTACCTAAAGATAGCTAAGTAATTGGTACAATCTCTTTGTGAACAAAAAGTTGGTCCTAGGATTCTAGGCTATTTCTTTATCTCTATAACTTTTATGCCCCCATAAAATTGAGATCTAATCATTTTCCTCATTCATCCAATTGAATAAGCTGGTTTTTTTACCCTTCCCCCATAACCACAACCCTGGGAGCTTCTTTGACATCTGTCACTCATGTCATTCTATATGTACTTGTTTTACTCATTAAGATACCAAAAGAAGTTTACTGTCTTGGCTGTAGTCAGCTACGGTCTATGTGACAGTGCGACAATGGGTATAATTTAAGGTAAAGGATTTACCTCAAAAGATATCTTTGGTTTCCAACCAAGAAGTTTGTGGGCCTTATCTGCACATCCCTGAAGATAATCCTGAAGGAGAGAATCAAGTGCATGTATTATATTTACGGATACATGTATCACTAACCTTTGAAGTTTTTAAGTGCAGAAATGGCAAAGATGGTCTAGAACTGGACATTAATTTTTCTTCTGTTGTCAGTGTATCACAATTCTGCCAAAGTAGGTAGCGTTTGCTTTAATTTTTTTGAATGGCCAGGAAATACTTAATCCCCCAACCGTAACAACTCAAACAAAGGCACGGAAGTGACTGAAACATAGAAGACTTCAAAGCAACACAGCACCTAAAAATTACGTGGATACTAACATGCATATTACCATCATTTACAGTGACACAAGCAAAATTAGGATTGGTTCTTGGCAGTCAACATAACACAAGAATACATGTAGTTTCCTTGTAATATTACAGTGTTATTGGTAAAAGATCTGCAAAAAATGCCTTATATAATACAAGTAACCGAAATGTTTGTGTGGGTGCCATAAGAGAATTGCTAAACTTACCACTTCTGTTGGCCGGTAATACTTGGGGTTTACCCTTACAATGACTTTCCCAGTGTTTTTATCTTTGCCAACTTCCGTATCACCTTCTCCTTCCCAACTATAAAACAAAAATTAGCGATAAACTGAAACTACTTGTTAAAAACCCCTTTGATGTGACATGGGGAAAATATATTAATAATTAAGTTACTGGTACTGGATTCAGCTTATTTGATAACTGAAGGGAGTATTTTCTAAACCTGAGATAAATGTAAACAGACAAAATGATCGGCAAGAATATTATTATTGATCATTGCTGATTAATAATATTAAAATGTCTTAGAATAATAGTAGTAATAATAATAATAATAATAATAAAACAAATATTGTTATAATTTGTTATTATTAATGTCATTGTGATTTACTGGCATTTAGATATTTACTGGGGATCGAGAACCACATGAAGCGAAACCCCATCAATACAAGCACCGTTGGGTCATGAAATCCTGGTCATCTTTATGAGGTGATAACAAGATGTTCAGAATAGAAAATGATTGAGTTTCTTAAGGCTGTGCCAAAATATGTGTAGTCATAAAAATAAGGCGGTGGCATGCAAGGTGGAGGAA